AGAGGCGCCGCCGCCGCCGGCCCGCGGAGCCCCGATGCTGGCCCGGAGGAAGCCGGTGCTGCCGGCGCTCACCATCAACCCCGCCATCGCCGAGGGCCCGTCCCCCACCAGCGAGGGCGCTTCCGAGTAAGTGGACCGCGCCGGGTGCGCGTGGATGGGGGCACCTCCAAAAGACGGCGTGGGGGAGTCCCTGAGTAGCGCGCTTGGGGGAGTGGTGTCCCCGAGTGGTGAGGTGGAGAGAGGAGGTCCCTGGCAAGAGAGGAGGGGGCGAGGGGCGTCCCTGAGTGATTAGATGTGGGGGTGTGGGAGAGGGTCCCTGCTAGGGGAAGACGGGGTGGAGGGGATTCTGGGGCGAGGAGGTGAGATGGCTCCCTAAGCTCGAGGGAGGGCTTCCTGGATAGAGGAGAAAGGGGTGGGGGAACCTCAGAGGAGAGGTGGGGGTGGGGCTTTTGAGAGGAGAGGACTGGTGGGGGGCTGAGTAGGGAGGTGGGGGGAAGTGGGTCCCGACGAGAAGGGGGGATGCGAGGGCCCGAAGTAGCAAGGGGTTGTCCCTGGGTGATGAATTACGGTGAAGGGAAGAAGATGGGTTGTGGGGCCTCCAGGAGGTAAATGAGGGTCATGGTGGGGTGCTGGAGGGGAGAGGATAAGTCAGGGGGCTCCTGACAGTGAAGTGGAGAAAGGGGGGGAGTCCTTGAGTAGTTGGGTGGAGGGAGGCAGTGCTTGCTTCTTGCATACCAAGAACAGGATAAATGGGGTTCCGAGGGGAGAGGGCAGATTGAGGGGGGATCCTGCAGGGAATGAAATTCTCACTGGTGATTGCTCCAGTGGTTAGACTGGAGAGGAGTCCTCAGGGACACTCTGAGAAGAGAGAGGTGAGGGAAGGCCCTGGGTGTGTGGGCAGAACGCAGGTGAGGAGGGTGCCTGAGAGGGCAGGGCGGCCGGAGGGACCTTGGGGTAGGTCCCTGGGAGTGAGGATGGGGGGGATTCCTGAGATGAGGATGAGGGGTCAGGGTGCTGGTCTCTGGGAATGAGATGGAAAGGGACCTGGAAAACTAAGGGCATAGAGAAGATCCTGAGAATGGGGGTGAGCGTGGCAACCCCCCACTGACGTTGGGGAGATTGTTGAGGAGGCAGAGACTGGGGAAGCAAGGTGCCACGGACAGGTGGGCAGGGGAGGAATGGGAGCAGTGCGCAGAGGTGGGAAGGCCTGCTGCAACTCCTGAAGGGCTCTCGGGTAAGGGATTAGGGAGGCCTCAGGGGCTGGAGAAGGGCAGGCAGCTCAGGCCCTTGGGGAATAGAGGGCTTGGGACAGAGAAAGTTGTTCCTGGGGTGCTGCCGTTGTGATGTCTTGTGAACTTAAGCCAGGGTGACCACTTAGCCCCAGAAAGTTCCTGTGGCCTCCCACTAATGCTGTCCATGTCTAAGCTTGGCAGGAGGTCCTGAGGCCCCTGGCCGGGCTCCTGTGCTGTTCGTGGTGTGGCCCCATGGGAGCCTGGTGGCAGACAGCTGGCATGTTTGGTGCCGCTGTGGGTCCAAGGGGGTGGTCTGGTGCATGTGTGAGTGCTGATCTCTTTGTCTCGAGGGCACAGCACAGCAGGGGATCAGTCCCTCGTTTTCAAAAATTCATTCCTGCTCTCACAAGAGAGCCCCTCTCTATGTTCTCTCCTCTTTCACTCCTGTGGTTTCTGATTTCCATCCCTTCAAGAATTCCCGCAGAGGAAGCCAACCTTGAAATTCCAGGGTTGTTTTCTAACCACAGATAGTTACCATTAAATTGAAAATGGATTAATCAGCTGACTCCAGAATGCACTGGAGGTGCCTTGCCTTCCAGAGAAGCCAGGTCCGGCTTGTTCAGCCCGGTGCCTCCCGCGTCCTTCACGTCTTGCTTCTCCATCCCGGCCTTCCCTCAAGGGGCGTTCAGTGAGCTTTCTAGGCCTGGTCCTGGCTCAGGGAGAAAGAAGCTACGTAGGCAGGGGCCACGAGCACCAGCTTTGCCAGCAGGAGGGCCACCCTTGCTCCCAGGCACTGCCGTTCCTGCATTGTGACCTGTGGGAGCCCGTCCCCTCCTAGATGGCTGGAACGACGAGAGACCTGCCCTTCGGGAGGGTCAGGAGAGCGGAGCGAGATGGTGAGATGGTGTTTGTGAAGCTGTCATGGCGCCTCGCTGCGTACCTTTCGGTGCCCTCTTTGCATTGCCAGGCACCACCCAGGTCATCCTCTGCCCTGCGCAGCCTGCCACCTCCACCTCTGGGTTATAGGACTGTCGTGGTCAGACTGCAGGATGGGCAGAGCTCTGAAACAACTCCAGTTTCCCCTTTTACCTTTCGCTTGAAATCCCCCTGAAAGCCTCCCCCAGCTGGGCACTCAGCCTTGCTGCACCACTCTTAGGGACTGGTGGCTGCAGGCCGCCCAGAGTGGTCCACTCTTGTGAGGCTTCTCTCACAGCTTCACTTCCTGTCTGGTGCAGGAACACTTGCCTGTGGCCAGTGCTACAAAGATGGCTTGGCCCAGCTCAGGGGCTCTCAGGGTCACCCGTCAAGGATTTCATATGGAAACAGTAAAATAAGTTTTTATTAACTTGCCTATATTGATTGTAATTGAAAATGAGAATGTTTGTGATGGGCTAAAGCAAATACATTGTTATAATTAGTTTCACCTATTACACTTATTTAATGAGACTCCTGGGAGATTTTATTGCATGTGTAGCTTCTGTTTTAGACAGCTCTAGGGGGTCCTTGCAGGCACTTGGCTTAAGTTTACCCACTGTTACAGAGAATTACTTTATTCTCCAAGATGGGCTTCCAAGTCGAAGTATTAGTGAAAAGAACTTGTCAGAATTTCTTTTGAAAATGTCCTGAATCACCCAATAAAATACATTATACGCAGTTGGGTTTTTTTTTTTTTTTTTTAAAGATTTATTTATTTGTACATACAGAACTGGGGTACAGGCCAGAGGCTCAGGGGCGGTGAGAGACTTCACCAGAGACAGAGCGGGGAGCAGAACAGGCAGATCGACGAAGTACACTGCTGAGGGGAGCAGCGGGCGGGTCAGGAGAGGTCTGCCACGCCATGTGGTCACCTCCGGGGCAGGCGGGAATCGAACTCATGCGGAAGTGGCTTTAGCTTCTCAGTGCAGTGCTTTAACCCGCTGCGCCACCAGGGAGGGCCCGCAGTTGGTTTTTTAATGACTGGGTTCAGGAATGTGTGTCCACACGCACGTTGCTGTGATATTCAGACATAAGAGTGTGCTGGCAGTGCAGAATGCCCTGGGCTGAATGCAAACTCTGCCCCTCTCCTGTCCCCTTCAAGGCCCGTGTGTGATTCCTGTACATTAAAGGCACTTTTGCTGCAACTTTGGCCTTCCACCCACTGGTCTGAGTTCTGTGCTCTGAGGCCACTCAGAGTGAGTTTGCTCCCCTGTCCTTGTGGCCTGACTCTTCGCTCTTCCCAGGTCTTGTCTCCTCAGTCCCGGCTCCCTCCAGCACTGCTGGAGCCCTGTGTCAGGAACTCTGAGGGTAGCCCAGGAGTCCGGAGCAGAGTTCACCTGCCTCTGCTGCATCCATGCCTCCCACTGGGGAGCGGCCTTCTGTCTGGCCAGCATGTATGAGTGAGTGGGTGGTTGTCTCCTGATGGATTGTGGACCCTGGAGCAGAAGAGTCAGTTCTGATTCATCTCTGCATCCTGACTGGCCCCGCGGTCAGTTTGACTTCGGTCCTCTCCCAGGAGCTCAGACGTCCTTTACTAACCCTTGCCTTGGGTTCTCTGCAGAGCAAACTTGGTGGACCTCCAGAAGAAGCTAGAGGAGCTAGAACTTGACGAACAGCAGAAGAAGCGACTGGAAGCCTTCCTTACCCAGAAGGCCAAGGTCGGAGAGCTCAAGGATGATGACTTTGAAAGGATCTCGGAGCTGGGAGCTGGGAATGGTGGAGTGGTCACCAAGGTCCAGCACAGGCCTTCAGGCCTTATCATGGCAAGAAAGGTGAGAAGTGGCCAGCAGCAGGCCAGGGCCAATGGCAGGCCTGTGTGTGTGGGGAGAGGTTGACAGGTGCAGGCCTCTGCTTTCTGACGGGCTCCTGGTCTCATGGGCCCTCCCCGGCGCCCCGCTTCCCCCTGAGCCATGGGTCTGCTCCTGAGAAAGAGCAGGCTTCCTTGGGTGTGGCAGTGCTGGCTTGCCTCATGCCATTCTTCCCTTTTGATTACTTACTTCTGCTTTCTGGGACATCGTAAATTCAGATTCCCGGAAACATCCTGGACTGCATGAACCAGCTTGAGGAAGCAGAAAGTAGAGTCTTTGGGAAGAGAGGTGGATAATCCAGTCCCCTCACCCTCATAACCGTAACCTGAGCGAGGGCTCCGCCACAGTTGAGATGGTCACCTTGAGAGGGGCCCCCTACTCAGTAGGGGAACCAAACAACCTGTATTAGAATTCTGTATTAGGGGGTTTCTGGAAAAGCACTATGTTGGGTGGGGAGATGGTTTAAGATCCTGGGGGCTGGCAAATCCAAAATCTGCAAGGCAGGCCAGCAGATGAGAGAGCCAGGGAAGTGATGAAGCCAGAGTTCATGGCAGTCTGCAGGCAGAATTTGCTCTTCGGGAACCTCAGTCTTTTCTCTTAAGCTCTTCAGCTGATTAGACAGGCCCCACCCACTTACGTAATATGCTTTGTGATTCTGTGTTAAATCGCATGCAAGATAAACCTTCATGGCAGCATCTAGTGTTTGACCAGACAGCTGGTTGCCGTGGCCTTACCAAGTGGACATACACAATCAACCCTCTGCCCACCCTTTGGTGCAAACTCTGGCACTCAGGGTCCCAGGCCTCCCTTACCCAGGCTCCTGCAGGGGGTTGAGAAGGAAAGAATGTGACTGACTGTGAGGGTAGGGGTGGCCAAATGGGGGACATTGTATGGACAGAGAGCTCAGCTCAAGCAAACTTCCTCTCAGGCCTAGAAAGTTGCTTCTTTCTGAAAACCCATCATCTTGGCATTCCCAAATGGTATTCCTAGAAATCGGGCACCCCCGCCACACTCAGGCAGACCTGTGTGGGGGCCCCGTCATCATTGAAGGATCCCACAGTCCTGAGCACACCGTGCTTGGTCCCCTTGGGACTTAGCTCTGCAGCTACTTCTCACACTCTGAGCACCACCTCCCTCAGCAGCTGCAGCCACCTGCTTTCTGTTTCTGTCCCCTTGCCTCAGGCAGCCTTTCAGAGCCAGAGCAGCCCTGGGACTCTCTGGTCTGCCATTGCCCAAAGCACCTGGGGGGAAGCAGACAGGCAGTTCAGATGGCGGGGTGGGGCCTTGAGAACAGAGCGCTGGTCATAGTGTGTCAGGGGCTGCATCTCTGAGCCTGCTGAGGAGGCCTCTGGGTGATCTCTGACTGCTCTGGAGATGCAGCGGTCTGATGCCTACTGGGCACACAGCAGACCTCCGGCCGAAAGGCGCAGATCAAGCAGGGGTTTCTCTGCGGCTTTGTGAAAGCCCAGTAATGAGACTTCGGGGTCTAAAACTGGGGGCCAGGTCATTTCTGTGATCTAGGTAGCATGTTTTCCCCACATGCATCTCTGGGTTTGATAGTCCTTGAAGTCGTAGTTGTCACTGGGTGAAGAGTGCCCGGGACGCTGCTGTTTTTACAATATCCCCTGTGTCTTTAATTCTTTCAAAAGAAGTAAAAGGGAAAAAAGATCCAAAATGTTGGACCTCACATTCTGTTCTCTCAGACTTAAAGTCTCCCTTGCCTGCGCAGCTATGTGCCCGCGCGGAGCGAGCACCCGAGCACTGGCTTGCCCTGCTGTGGAAGGCGGTCACTGTCCAATCACCCCAAAGCCCTCAACCAGTCTTTGGGAGTGGGTGGGTCGAAGGGTTTCTTCCATCTCCTTGGAGAACAGCTCACCCAGAGGCCTGTTTGCCTTTTTAAGCTGAGGGCGCAGCTGGGAATACTGGAGCGACAGTGTGGCCTGAGTCCTTCCTCCACCACCCTTGTGGAATTCTAAATTCCCAGGAAGCCAGGTATGAATTCCACACATACCTGAGAGTGCAGGCTTATCAGATCTCAAGTGCGGCTTCTGCAGGTGTGGGGCTGAGGGCTGGGTGGAGCGGCTGGCAGGGCTGCAGCCCCACCGTGCACAGCATCCTCTGTGGCCAGCGCCCCTCCGCTTCCTTTGACTGGCAAGGATTATCCTAACCAGTACGACTTGCTCGGAACCAGTATGACATGCCCGGGAAGCAGCAAGACCAGTTCTGTAAGACCTGAGCAAACCGGCCTCGGTCTTTACAGCCACGCATTTTCATAAATGTTTTCCCGACCACGCACAGCTCGACTCCCGCAGCCTTCCGAGAGTCCCCGGCACACACGCGCAACTTGGCTGGGAAAGGTCTGGGGGGATTTAGTGTGCTTGTTATGTGTGGGGAGCGCCCTTAGCTCCCCAGTACCCACAGCTGCGGAATGTCACAGCATTTGTTCCTCTGTCCTAGGTGGTTTTTAGAATAGAGTGGCGTGACCTGCCCATGGCCACGTGGTAATGCCAGCCACCATCTTTCAAGCTGACACCTTGACGTGTTTAAGTCAAAAATAAACAAATAAAATCAAAAACAGCTTCATCTTTCAAACTGAGGCCACAGGAGCTGGGACTTCTTGTCCGATGGGGGTTGAGCCCGTCCTTGGTCTGCCCTTCACAGTTGACCCGCCTCAGAGGAAGCCATCTGGCTTTGCCACCAGAGTCCACTTTCCTCACTGCCTAACTTGCACCCCTCACCCCTGTTCCTGACTCAGAATCCCCGTCCTGCAGCTTCCAGTGCCTCAGCCTCCTAGACAGCTTGGTGTTTGCTCAGAGTCCCAGCACCCTTCTGACCTGGTTAGCTAGCAGTGTCTGCAAACCCTGGAGGCGATGGCATGGGAAGAGCGTGGTTTTGGCATTCGTGGGGCCCTGGCCCCATCCTGGCTCATGCACTCACCAGCTGTGAGGTAGGAATGAAACTTCCCATCGCTGGCCCTAAACTTGCCCGTCAGAGAAACAGGGGGCTTAGCCCCCCCCAACCGCTGCGGGGTTGTTAGGGTGAATTGCAAGTGAGTGCTGGGAAAGGCCCATCTGCCCCTGCCCCTTTTTCCTGCCTTTTCTCATACCTTCAGTGGTGGCTCTGGGCCAGGCTAGAAGGCCTTGCATTATGTCGCTGGTTCTGCGGGACCCCTGGACTGAGCATGGAACAGGAACAGCCCCTGCATCCTCATGTGCCACGTCTTCCAGAAGACTCTGGCTCCCACAGCCTGTTTCCCCTAAGAGCGACGCTGCAGGTTTCCAGGACCTTGAGAGTTCCATCCAGTTCTGCCACATTCTGTCCAGCCTTCCTCTTCTCCAAGCCTGATGGGTTCTTGCTGCCTGGCCTCTCATCCAGCTTTGGGCCCTTGAAGTTCTTGGTTGGAAGCTATGCTGCCCTTGACAGCAGCTTCTGGGATGGCAGGTACTTCACACGGTACCTGCCAGAAACCTAGTCTGTAAGCACTTGGTTTAAAAGAAAACTTCCTCAATGTCTTTACATCAGTCACACCTCAAAACCAATTTTTTTCGTACATTGAGTTAATTGAAATACAAGACAAATAGGTTTCATCGGTCTCTGTATGTTTCTAATGCTGAAGCCAGAGGATTTAAAATTAAACATGCCGTGTTTCTGAAGGCAGTGCTGGCTTCCACACCCAGCACTGCTGCCCACTTGCCGCAGAACACCCTGCTTTCTCTGCTGTCCAGGCTCCGCTCCCACCCTCCCAGCCCAGTATCTCTCCCCTCCCAGGCTTCTGTGGTTACACCTTCTAGGTGTCACCTAACAGGTGCAGCTCCACCAGAGGAGAGGGTATTCTGGTGCGCCCCACTGTCCCACTGGGGGTGCTGGTTGCAGGCCCTGGGGCAGAGAGCTGGCCTCCGCAGGCTGCATTGGGTGAGAAGCGAGTGCCAGATGGACCCTTGCAGCCAGAGGGCCTGGGTCAAGGTGGGCACAAGGGTGTGCCTGGGGACCCGCAGGGATAGGTGCTGCGAGGCCCTTCTGCTGTTCTCAGGGTGTCAGCACGAGCCTCTGCACACACCCTGTCCCCCCTGAACTCAGCCCTGGAGTTCTTGAGCAGGACTTCTACCTAGAACACTTGTTGCACATTGTCCATTTGACTGACTCCTGCTCAGCTGTCAAGGCTGACCGAAGTGTCACTTGAGCCCTGGGTCACCTTCCTGTGACCACTACTGTCGGGGCACCTCCACCTCATGCAGGTAGTGTGTGTCCCCCAGGCAGGACTGCTGTGCTGTCTGTGTGTCTCCATCACTGGCCAAAACTGTGATGGACTTGGACAGATGGAATTGTCAGGATCCCATGGAATTAACAGGATCATGTTCACACACCCCTGGCCCAGCCCCAGCTCTCTGACAAAGGGTGGGAATCATGCTTTTATCTTATCTGACTGCGACGGCCAAGCAGCCAAAGTCCTAAGTGCCCACAGCCCCACAGCCTCCTGCCTGGCAGTGTCTCTGACGTTACTTGGGTTTGTGAGTGGGAGTTACTCTTGACATTTTATCACTATCTTTTCTATAGTGGCCAGACAGTCCTTTGACCTCTCCTTTTGAAATGTTACAAGTTCTGTGACAGTTGCCTTTGCAGACTTAAGTGGGAGGAGAGCTAGGATCTTAGGGTGTCTGAAGCTCTCTGTGTTGTCTGTAGCCTGGAAGCATGTTCTCTGACTGATGGCACTACAGAGAGGAAGCACCCTCTGGCACCTCGCATGATTTGGTGGGAAGAAAATTCTTAATGCTTGTTGATTTTCTTTTTTTAAGGTTTATTTATTTCTACATACAGAACTGGGGTTTCATCCAGAGGTTCAAGGGCAGTGAGAGGATTCACCAGAGAGAGTGGGGAGCACCGCTGAGGAGAGCAGCGGGTGGGTCACGTTGGGGGCAGGGATCGAACTTGCACTGAAGCAGCTGCAGTGCTGTGCTTTAACCTGTTGCAGCACCAGAGAGGGCAGATTTTTTTTTAAAGAGCTTTTTTGAGATGGAAGTCGCATGCCATACATCTTATTCTTTTAGTATATATAATTCAGAGGTTTTTAGTATATTCACATTGTGCGTCTATCACTGCATCAGTTTGGGAACACTCTTCATCCCCCAAAAGATGCCCACCCACCAGCAGCACCCCCCTGGACCCTTTCTCCTCTCCCGAGCCCTGACAGTCACGAGCCCACTCTGTCTGGGTCTCTGCCTGTTCCGGACAGTCCGCATCACCGGAAGCACACACGGGGGGCCCTGCGCCACTGCCTTCTCTCTGAGCCTCATGGCTTCAAGTAGTAACGCGTGTCCGAGCTGCCCCCCTCTCCGGTGTGTGGGTGGGCACGCCCGTGTCTGCTGGTCGGCTGGCAAGCACTGGGTTGCTCTGCCCTTCGACGCTGTGGCTCACTGCCACGCATGCGTGTGGCCGGGTGTGGGTGGACGTGTGCTCCGTTCTCTTGGGTGTCGACCCTGAGGGTGTAGTGCTGGGCATGAATGCCCGGAGGGCAAGGAGCTGAAGCCCCCTCTCTGGTGCCTTCTTGGCCTAGCCTTGAACTGCCTCCCTTGCCCCACAGCTGATCCACTTGGAGATCAAGCCGGCCATTCGGAACCAGATCATCCGGGAGCTGCAGGTGCTGCACGAGTGCAACTCCCCGTACATTGTGGGCTTCTACGGGGCCTTCTACAGTGATGGCGAGATCAGCATCTGCATGGAGCACATGGTGAGCGCGCGGCCCTGCGGTACACCCGGAGCCGCTCCAGCAGGGGCCCCCCAGAACTCCGGCTCTGCCGCCGGCACATACCACAGGACAAGGAAGTCCCCTGAGCCGGCCTCGCTGCCGGCGACCCTCAAGGCTCCTGTCCTCAGATCCTAGCGGGCCCTTCGGGGGTAGCCGGTGCTGGCGCAAGCACAGTTCCGGTTGCTGCTGCTCCCGGCTTTGCTTGTCCCACACACGCCACTGCCCTCATACAGGGGCGGTTCCATCCTTTCGCCCACTGTCTAGTCTTCCGGTAGCCACATGTGTCACAACAGTAATTTATTAAACACCCTTGTTGGTGGACACCAAGGCTGTTCCATCACAGACAGTTCTGCTGCGTGTCCCTGCTGTGGGCAGGCATGTCATGGGAGTGGGACTGCGGGGTCCTGGTGATTAGAAGCTGACTGACCTTTCCAGAGCACCCTCTGAAGGGAGTGTGGCAGTCGGGGGGTGGCTGTTTTCAAGGTGGGATCCTGTCTGCACTCAGATTGGTTCTGTTGGACTCAGCCCTGGCATAGAGGGCTGAGACCACCTAGCTCTGATGTGCCCTTTTTTGTCCTTCAAAGATTTATTTCATTTATTTATGCATACAAGAACGGGAGTGCAGGTGCAGGGGAGTGGGGGTGAGAGGATTCACTGGAGATGGAGTGGGAGCAGAACAGGCCGACTGATGGAAATACACGGCTGCCACATGAGTCAGCTCCCTGGCCGGGATCAAACTCGTGCTGCAGTGGGTCATTACGCGCCAAGACAGCCCCTATGCCACCAGGGAGGCCCCTGTTGTGTCCTTGCTTAAGAAACTGGTTGTGCAGCTTAGAGATGGGTGGGATTGAGTTTAACAAATGCAGAAGTGGTTAGAACTGAGGCCTGGGACCCTCTGCACTGTCCCCTCGACAGTGCTGTTATGAAGGCCGGAAATGGATTTGAGCAAGCGCACCGCAGGGAACACATCGTGAGCAGGCAGTGTGGCAGAGGTGGCGAAACACTCTCCAGGAGGTGCTCCCACCCTTCTGCCTGCACCCCACCCCGCTGTGGGGCCCGCCAGGCAGTGCCCAGCACCAGCCTTTGCTTATCTAGCAAGGCAAGATTGCGTCTGCGCATGCCTGGCAGGCTCGCTGCGTAGACAGAATCATAGGGGCGAGGAGGACATGAAGCCACGTTGTGGTTTGGGGGGAGCCTCTGCTCTATGTGACTCCCTGCTCCCTCTGCCTGCTCCCCAGTGCTTCCACCCCTACATGTTCTTGCCTAACATCGTGGGAGTTCGAAGTTACCTCTTTTTCTTGCCAAAAAGGGAATGTCACAATCCAGGGTCCCCCTCGCCCTTCCCTTCCTGGAGGCTTCAAAGCGTCAGCTTGCAGCGCAGACTGAACAACCATTGTGCAGGGACTGGGGCCAGCAGGTGTTCGTGGCGTCCTCCTGCAGAAACTCCTATTGGATTTTTGATTCGCCCTTATAACAAGCACCCAAGGGCACTAACGCGCAGCCGTGAGACACAAGTGAAGAGATGAATATTCAGGCTCCCTGCTTTCTGCAGGTGGTGACGACCTACAACCTGGAGTCTTAACTTGGGGGCCCCCTGGGTGAGGACAGCTGTGAGAACACAGCCACACTAAGGTGGGGGTGCGATGGCCCAGCCCCCTGGATGACCCCTGTAAGTGCCAAGGGTTTCCGCATTTGCTGGACATTGTACTCGTTCACTTGTGCGCCATTGGGGACGGTGAGCGTGCTGCTTGCGATGGCCATGCTGGAGCCGGATTTAGCTCCCCTCCCCCTGCACCCTCCATCAAGCCAAAGCCAGGGGTCAGGTAGGAGGGAGCTGAGCCAGGCCCGCACCCACAGAGCGCTGAGGGCTCGTCGGTGACCTTCACTTCTTGTGCTCCACCCTGGGGACACTACCTAGTGAACAGCCTCACTCTGTGCAGCTGTCCCCTCTGATCTCGGGGAGGTTTTCAGTGACACTCTGGTGTGGGTACATATCAGCCCTTGTTTCCCACCCACTGCTTCCAGCTCTAGCTTGCCAAGACCCCAGTGAATACCGTCAGCCCGAATCGCACAGAGGCTGGCCTCGCCTGCCATGTCTCCATCCGGGGCTCAGCGACACTGGGCCACTGCTTCCCAGTCTGACTGGGAAGACTTGTCCTGAACCTGGGAGATAGGGGGCAATGGCGGGGTTGGAGCGGCAGGGAGCAGCCTACTGACCTCACAGAGGCACCTCTGGGTGTTTGTTGGCTCTAGCCAGACCTATGGAAGAACACACTTCTTCCTTGTTCTATAATAACAAAACTCAGGCGCATCTATCAGCGCACACGTGGAAGAGAGAGAGCCGGCTCCCGTCAGGGAGGAAGGAAACTGGCATGGATGTGCTGATTGAGAGACTCCCCAGGGGAACCAGGCATAGCATGAGCCCACTCGCACGTATATTTAAACTCTGTGTCCCCCATGCACAGGGGTGTGTATGTAAATGCACAGAAGGATCCGGAAGAATATGTTACTTTTCGGAGGAGGAAAGTGGAACTGCTGGGGAATCAGGATGCTATTTATCTGTGTTTGACTTTTTATGTAGAAAATGGATCCGTGTACAACCTACTCAGCGAAAGATACCATTTCAGGAACGTTTAGAATACACAGACCTACAAAATGAAAGTGTATGGTCACGCAGAGTGAGATTTGGGGTCAAAAAGGCCCAGTACTGATAGCTCCTGCCCCCACATCCTGTCCATGTGACTCGTGCAAACCACTTAGCCTGCCAGACCGAAGTCGTTTTAGCTACGGACCTGGGCCTCTCAACTGTGGGGTGACTGTTTTCCCCAAGGGACTCGAGGCAATTTGGGGACACTTGTGCCCTGGGTCACCCCCCAGAAAACAGCCCTGGCCGACGTCTGCCTCGTAGACCCCCGGCACCTCAGCCTGGGCCCGCCCGCCACCAAGTTCTCCGGAGGTCGCCTCCCGCAAATGGGTCAGATGCAGAAGTTAATCATAAAGGGAATCAGTGTTGGGCGCCGGGGTTATAGTTTTAAAAAAAATTCTTTTAAGGTTGACTGGTAAAACAAAAACTGAGAAAAAAGGGGATTCCCATGCTGCCTGTACACAGAGTGGGCAGGGTGGGCCCGAGCAGGGTGCCCAGCACCCCCCACGCCTCCGCCACGCCCGCCCTCTGCACACAAGTCCCTCGGCCTCTCCCACAGCTGCTTGTTAGTCACTCTCACCCGCCCGAGGCTCTAGAGCTCCTCACTCAGGGCCTTTCTCGCTGAGCGCAGCTGGGGCAGGAGCGGCAGGGGCTGCCCTGAGACTCCGGGGCCCCTGCCCGGGTGCCCGTGGGCGTCCTGGAGCAGTGCCCTTCAGGAAAGCCCCTCTGTGGTCTCCAGCGGAGGCCAGGTCTGGCCCCCCTTCATCACCCGGGGCTGGCTCCGGGCGCCTCTCCTGGGGTTGGCGTGTGGAGGAGACTGACAGGCCTCAAGCCCATTTAGCCCATCCCAGGGTGCCCAGGCCCCAGCTCTCAGGAGGCCCCTTGGGCTGATCTGGCCACAGTGTCGGTTTTGGTCTCCAGGTTTGCTGCTGGGCAACCTTGAGCAAGACATTGGTTCCTTATTCATAAGGTAGATTTGGGGCCATGCCCACGGTGGGTTGGGTCAGCTGAGGTGACCTGTGTCAGGGCTTCTGTGGACTCTGGCAAGCACTCAAGACCTAAGAGGGAAGGCAGAAAAGTACCTCGGCAGCCCTCGCCCCTTGGGCAGCACAACCCTTCTGAGGGGGCAGGCTCGGGGGTTGGGCAAAGAAGCAATAGAGTGGACAGCTGGCTTGGGCCCCTTCCCCTGGGCTAGGCACTTCCAGGCAGCGCCGCTCTTCCCACTCGGGGCTGTAGCTGGCAGGTCTCGCGGGGTGCTCTCGTTGCTCAGGCTGTATGGCTGGCCTCAACCTGCTGCTGCCATGGCAACCTCAGGAGGGCTGAGTCATGCCTTCTGCAGAGGGATGGGCCCCAGTTCCGGGAAGTATGGGCATCTGGGAGAATGCTGGAACCCTGGGCAGGCTCCTTTCCACTTCCTCCCTAGCCGCATGGCCCTGAGGCCATGGAGGCAGCAGGACGGGGAGGCCGTCCTGGTGGCGGCCTGGCCTCTGCAGCCTGCGGAGGGTGCCCCGGTGCTCAGGGAAGCAGGGAAGGGCATCGGCTTTGGACCTGGCTCGGCAACCCCACCTGACCGCCTGCTCAGATCAGCCATCTCTCTCTCTCTTCCTAGGATGGAGGTTCTCTGGACCAAGTGTTGAAAGAAGCCAAGAGAATTCCCGAAGAGATTTTGGGGAAGGTCAGCATTGCGGTGAGTGTGCAGGCCCCGGAAGTGCTGGGCTCCATGAGGCACCCTAGTCCCGTGCTCTGCCCCATCTCCTCTCCCCCCACCTCTCCAGGCAGCCAGCAGCTGAGAGTCCCTGGAAGCCGGGGGCGGGTGTAGGGCGGTCCCCAAGAAATGGCATTTGACAGAGCGAGTCTCCCCTTACCTCAGACCTTTGAGTAAGGAGTGACCCTGGGGACCTCAGGTTCCCCAGGGGTCAGTGGTCTGTCCACCAGCTCAGGGCGCGCTGTGTGCCTGCGTTCCCAGGGCACCAGCCTGACCAATCACTGCTTTCTGGGGCTGCACCTGCCAGCGGGGGTCTCGCCCAAGCCTGCTGCTTCTCAGGGCCTGTTTCTTTGCGCTCAGGAGGGGGCAGTGCTCCCCTGTGCCACACAGGCACTGGGTGGTAGGAGGAACTGGCAGCTCACTGCAGAGCCCGGGGCGCCGAGGGCACCGGACCTGCCGTCCTGACGGTTCCTCTCTGGCCTCTGCGACCCAGTGACATGCCCCTTGAGCCCTTCACCATACCGGGAGTGGCTGCACCGCCCCACCCGGGGCCTGTGGTGGTAGCTGCCCAGGCAGGCAGTGCGTGAGGAGCAGGACGTCCCCACCTCCGTGAGGGGGCTCATCGCCTTCCCTTCCCCATCCTCACTTGCCCCCTGCTCACCCCTGCGCTCTCTGGCAGGTCCTCCGAGGCTTGGCCTACCTCCGGGAAAAGCACCAGATCATGCACCGAGGTGAGAAAGCCGGGGTTAGAGGGAGGCCGGGGCTGGGGGGACTAGCTGCAGGAGGTGCTGGCGGGCAGGGGACGGCCCCTCGCCCACAGCCCACTCCCCTCCCAGATGTGAAGCCGTCCAACATCCTCGTCAACTCCAGAGGGGAGATCAAGCTCTGTGACTTCGGGGTCAGCGGGCAGCTCATTGACTCCATGGCCAACTCCTTCGTGGGCACTCGGTCCTACATGTCGGTAAGCCTGGCGTGGGCGCCGAGCACCGTCCTCGCCTTCCCGCGCCGTCAGCGTCTTCCCTGCCACAGGCATCGCTTTCACTAGGCTTGCCTTCCTGGTGAAGCTCCCCTTCCCTCCCTCTCTCTCTGGAAATGCCCACCTACTTCCTCTCTCCCGCTGGTAGAAGTCCAGGTGGGGAGACCAGTCGGTTCATTTCTGAGCCAAGAAACTGACCCTTGCTGTTGTGGGAGACATCCGGGTGACTGAAAGCCACCCATCTGCTCTGGGGTTGGCTTCTCAGAAGTCAGTGTGGGTTCTCTTGGAAAGGAGCTGTCTCTCTCTCCTCCTTTCCTCCCTCTCTGGCTGTGGAGGGGGAAGTGGAAGTGCTTTTTTCTTGGGCTTGGCCTTTTCAGGGGCAGTGGGACCCTCGGGGGGCTGTCAGGGAGCCGCCAGGTGCTCCCCTCCGTGAATGCGCCCGCCTCCAGCCTCCTCCATCTCCCCACAGCCGGAGCGGTTGCAAGGCACCCACTACTCGGTGCAGTCTGACATCTGGAGCATGGGCCTGTCCCTGGTGGAGCTGTCCATCGGAAGGTACCCCATCCCCCCACCGGACGCCAAGGAGCTGGAGGCCATATTTGGCCGGCCCGTGGTGGACGGGGTGGAAGGAGAGCCTCACAGTGTCTCGCCGCGGCCGAGGCCCCCTGGACGCCCCATCAGCGGTATGACCTGCATGGGGAACTTCCAGTCGGGACGGGCAGCAGCCTACACAGGGAAAGCCGAGCCTGGGGTGGCAGCTGCTCCCTCCGGCCCCTCCCAGCCCCACCTGCCCGTCCAGCCCGTGCTGGCTGCTGGCAGTGGTCCTCGGATGGGCCCACAGCTTCTGGGGACAGTGCTGGAAACAGGGCCCCAAACCTGTTCCCTCCAGGGCTGCCGCACCTGTTGCTGCCAGCTGGCAGGAGCTAGAAGCTAACCTCTCAGCCTCGCCATTGGCTGGCATTCAGCTGACATTTTATCATTAAGTGTCCGGACCCACAGGTAGTGGAGAGGATTGCCCGGCCGGTGTCTGCCCACAGCCCCTGTGCCCTTAGCGCTCTGCTGTGTTTAGTGAGCCCTGAAATTGAAAATGTTTTGACTGAGACTCTCCTTGGGTGACGTGCTGGATTCAGCCCAGCACACGGTCAGCGGTCTAGGAGGGAACTCAGACTGGGGACCAGGGGACAGCTGGGCTCCCTGACACAAGCACAGTGGGCCTCGCCTGGAGGGGAAGGGCTCCCTGGCATCAGACGGGCTGACACAGCGGCCAGCCACGTGTGGGGCTGCAGAAGGGGGCACCCTCGCCCAAGGTGGTGTCACTGGGAGGCAGTGCTGGGACTCTGGTGTCTGAGTGGTGACAGGATGAGCCCCCTGCGCAGCCGCAGCCCAGAGGACCCTGCGGCCGGCTGGGTGGGCAGGTCGCAGGCGGTTTGACGACTTCACTGAGACGTGATTCGCGTACTGGACGGATGCGGGAGGCGTGCGCTCAGTGGTTTGAGTATTTTCACAAGCTTTTGCGTCCACCACCACCATCTAATTCTAGAACCTTTCCTCACCCTGAAAGGAAACCCTGCCTCCATTAGCAGTCTCTCCCCAACCCCCACCCCTGGCCCCGGCTCCAAGAACCCACTGTGTGATGTGCCTGTCCTGCACATCTCACATCGCTGGAGTCACAGCGGTGTGGCCTGTGCCTGCCGCCTCCCCGAGCGTGTCTCAGGCTCCTCCACATCGTGGCTGTGTCAGCGCTTCCCTCCTTTCTGTGGCCAAGTGAGGTTACAGCAAGTGGACGTGTCCGTTTTGGGCGTCCACTCACTGCCAGGAGACCCTCGGGCTGCCAGGCAGTGATTTTTGCTGTATTTTCGTGCCCAGAGCCTTCCCTTTCCTGAGGTGCATCCTAAGTGCGGGGTGTCTTGATTTCCTCCAAGGGAGAACCCCCCCCCCCAGCTGTGTCCTGGGCCCTGGCTCTGCCCCTCCCAGCCCAACTCCCAGATGGCCATCCCAGGCACTCTGCTTTGCCCCTTCCCTGTGGGGAGGAGCCTTGGGCTGTGCCAGGCCGTCTCAGCCTGCCAGCACCTCCCCCAGCCTGGTGCCCATTTCGGGACAGGGGACATAAGGCGAAAGTCCAGTTGCCAAGCCGGGACCTGGCCAGCTGGGTGTAGGACAGGGGTCAGCCACCCCCAGCCAGTCGCCCGTTCTGAACAGCACTTGGGGCCTGCTGGTGTCACCACCGGCGCCTCCTGCAAGGTCACGCCGCCGTCCTTGCTTTTGGTCAGCCGCCCCTCCCCGCCGCCGCCCAAGAGCGAGGGAGCAAGGGGCCGTGACTTTGGCACGGCGAGAAGTAGCCCTGTGCCAGATGTGTGGCCTCTCAAGAACTGTTCCTGTTCAGTTGGCGTTTTCTGTTTTGTGTTGTGTTTTGAACTCACCCGAGGCTCAGGAGACAAGTTAGTTCCCCAGGAATGTGAGCTCAGTAGGGAGACAGCTGGGCCAGGGGCCTCCCACTGCCGGGCGAGGGTGCGTGACCATGCTCCGCACGTGCAGTCCTTGCTGGCAGCCACCTCACCGTGGCCCTGTCTCTCCCCAGGTCACAGCATGGACAGCCGGCCGGCTATGGCAATCTTCGAGCTGCTGGACTATATTGTGAATGAGGTGTGTGCCCAGGGCCCTTCAGCTTCTCTTCCCTCGAGTGGAGTTAATGATTCCTGTTGGAGTAGCTGCCAAGAGAATCCCCACCTAGGCTGGGTTTTGTTGGGGGGATAGATAGGACCTCTTAGAAGTTAGCCCGTTCCTGCCAGAGAGAGGCTCTCGAGTGCAAAGCTGGCCTTGTCTCCTGCGGACCTCACCGCACAGGTCCACCCGAGGGCTTGTTTCCCGTCCCAGCCCCTACTGCCGAGGCCAGTAGCCAAGGGCTTGGGCCCATGGTCTTCCTGGAGCAGCTCAAGCTGGCATGGATGAAGCAGTCTGACCCTCTTACCACCCTGTTCCACCAGCCGGACCTGCCCCTGAGCCCACGCTCAGCAAAGCCAGGTGGCCCTTTGGCATCAAGGCAAAGAAATGAGGCTGGGCTTGACCCAGGGCTGGGTGTCAGGGTGAGCCGCTGACAGCAGGTCAGGGGGTCTGTCCCCCAGTGTGCCCTGCATCCTGGGGAGACCCAGCACCACCCCTTCTGAGTGGGAACGTGGCCCCGGTGTTGGGAGGTAGATGGAGCAGCGCCCTGGAGTGTGCCTGGGGAGCTCTGGGAAGCACCAGGCTCCGTCAGGTGCTCGGGGCTAGAAGGCGCCTGTGCTCCATGGTCTGGAAACACCCCTGACCACACCCTCCCTTCCCCCACAGCCTCCTCCCAAGCTGCCCAGTGGCATCTTCACCCAGGACTTCCAGGAGTTTGTAAATAAATGGTAAGGCCACAGCCTCCGTCAGGCCGGCGCCAGCCCCGAGCAGCGCCCTTGCTCCCGGGCAGGCGGCCGAGCGAGCCGCTCCTTCCCGGTCGGGCCCGCTCCGGCTGCTGAGGCGCAGAGCCCAGGCTGCCACCACGGCCCCCGCTTGCCTTCCGCCAGCTGGCACCCGGGCGCCCTCATCCCGCAAGCCCCTTAACCCGCAGCAGGCTGTGGGGGAGCGGGCCGGGCTGCCCACTTACCCCAGGGCCGCCCGGCCTGTCAGAACAAGCGGACACTGCCTCGGGGCTTCCTAGCCAGCACGTGCACCCTGGTGGCAGACGTGCCACAGGCCCTCTGCAGAGCCACCGCCAGCCAGAGGGCTGCTCGGACCCAGTGACCCTGAGAGTATTTTCTCATCTGGACTAGAGGCTTCCGCTGTGTTGGAACAACCACCATTCAGCCCTGAGTACTCCAAGACGCGCCTTTAGACAGTTCTGCTTTAAAAAAAAAGATTTATTTATGTATACAGAAACTGGGGCACAGGGGGCAAGAGGATTCACCAGAGTGGGGAGCAGAACAGGCAGACTGACTGAAACCCACTGCTGAGGGGAGCGGTGAGGGGACAGCAGAGGTCTGCTGCGCCCCGGGGGTCCCTCCCTGGCCTCGGATGGGACTGGTGCTGGTGCTGTGGTTTCTGCGGACGCTTCGCAGTGCTGCATCTTAACCCCTGCACCACCAGGGAGGCCCTAGACAGTTCTGCCTTTTGAAGAAAAAGTTTCCCCTTTGACATTCAAACTTCCAAACTTGGGTTTTTTTACTAGAAATCTAGAGCAGTCGCTGCTGGGCCTGCTCTCCCTCCGTCTCATCCTGCTGGCCGCCCTCAGCCCGCCCACGCTGGTGGGGGTGTCGGGAAGACGTGGGCCCTCGCCGGGCTCCGGCAATAGCCGGCAGCAGTGCGGGTTGCCGCGCCCGGGAACGCGCTCTCTGTGTTCTGTAGATGTCACACATGCTAGGTGAAGGCAAGTGCGTCGTTAAAATTTAGAGAACAGTGAAGGCCAGGCTCAGCACGGGCTGCCCGGCCATAGCTTAAGACTCGTCCCAAGCCACTGACTGGCTGTCCTGTCTTGTCTCCCCACCTCCGCCCCTCCCCCACCTCGTGGAACCCCCAGCCTAATTAAGAATCCAGCAGAGCGAGCGGATCTGAAGATGCTCATGGTGAGTGAAACCACAGATTCTGGAGCCATGGGGGCTACGGGCTGCTGCCCATGAAGAGCAGAAGCCCAGCCAGGGCCTTCTTGCCCAGAGCAAGTGCCGGCCGGCCCTGATGCTGTGGAGGTCACGGGGACTTGGGGTCCAGGCTGGGGAGCCTCATTGGGCCATACCTAGACCATCAGACTTGGCTCCCATGGGCCAGCCTCCTGGCCAGCTGGGGGGAGTTGGGTGTCTCAGGAACCGTTATGGGCTCCAAGGTTAAAGGGTCACTCCTGCCCCTGGTTTGTTGGGGTCTCCCCAAAGGGCAGGAATTCAGTGTGGTGGCTGCCGTCCTTCAAACCCACCCAGTGTTCTTGAAGTTGGAGGTGGTCGCTGAAGCTTGTGCTTCCCGGCAGGGGTGAGGGAGGTCCTCACAACCGGGCTGACCCTGGCCTTTCTGGGGGTCATCATCAGGCCTTCCCTGACCACATCCATGGTGAGAGCACCCCACCGCTCCCTCCATCGCCCAGCCAGTCACCCGAGACTCTGACAACGCCAGGCAGCCACCTCGGAGTGGCTGGACGCGGCTCTGAGCAATCTGGCCGCACCCTGCTGGGTTCAGGCCAGCAGACCCAGCCGCCTTCCCACCATGCCTTGCTCACCCAAGGCCTTCGCGGGGCCTTTCTGCCCTGAGAAGGCCGCCTGTTCCTCTCTCCATCACCCGCCCATTCTGAGGAGCCCCGGGCAGACCTCACTCCCGCCGTTGTCGTGGCAGCCTCGGACTAGCGGGCATTTGAGTTTGCCACCACCCAGCGGGAAGCTGTGGGGCCGGCTCTGCGTGTCTCTGGCTCTGTTAGATTCGCCCGCACTCCTGTGTCTGCCGGGGAGCTCAACAGCCTCCCCTCGGGATGCCCACCCAGTCCTGGGCCTTGGGCCTGGCACCCCCTCCCGGCTTGGTTCCTCTCCCCTTTCCTAAGTGTCCTCCTGAGGCAGGAGCCTTCCTGCCGCTCCAGCCGCAGACACCGGGCCGTTACTCACCGCCTGCTCTTCCCTTTCAGAACCACACCTTCATCAAACGGTCTGAGGTGGAAGAGGTGGATTTCGCTGGCTGGTTGTGTAAAACCCTGCGGTTGAACCAGCCTAGCACACCCACGCGCATCGCCGTGTGACGGTGACCTGTCCGCCATCTGTCCGTGCCGCCCTCACAGCGGGACAGACAGCCCCGCCCCCCGCCGCACCCTCGCCGGACGCCATGCACATGTCGGACACTTAACTTCCTCCTACCTGTCGCAGCCTGTGACCCTCTGGTCTCTGGGAAAGGGGGACGCTGCTCGTATTGTCTCCTCAGAACCTGCTTACTTAGGTTTTAAAAAACAACGAAACAGGGAAAGAAAAAGCAAACCTTGACCATGTAGTGTCTTTGTTCTTTTGTCGCCTGTTAGTGGGGGTTCGGTTCACCCAGCGTAGGAGTGTGTCTCCAGGCAGCCCAGACCTGGGGTCAGACCGGTGCCTGCAGGAATGGTGGGCTGTGGGAGGGTATCCAGGACCCTGCTCTGCTCTTTTTTGCAGGTGGAAGCCTTGGAGGGAACCCATAGGTGTTGGCGTTCTTCCCCAGAAGAGAGGTAGGTGCTGCCTGATGTTCGCCCCAAGGAGGGAGGCCTCCTAGGTCTGAGAAAAGCAAGCAGCCAGCTGATCTGGGGTCGATTCTGGGCACAGAGCCCCTCCTGTGAGGCCAGCTGCCTCTGCTCCTGTCAGGCCCCTCAGCAGAGCATGACCTGCCCCCTCGTGGGGACGTTTTCGTTTCGCCTGTGTCAGGGACACAGCTGAGCTGGTACTGTGCTCTGCAGAAAGGAAGTGTCGGGTTTCCAAGCAGCCCGTGTGGTTGAGAACCCCAGCAGATCTGGTAGATAAGGCCTCCACTCACCCCACCCCCAGCGCCACCCCCGGGCCTGGAGGCCAACAGATGTGGGCGGGTGGGCCACCGTGTCACCTCTGCTCACCCTCGAGTCAGAGGCAGCTGCCCACGGCGAGCCCCCTCCTGGACTCGACGCCACCCAGCCGCAGCGGGTTGGCATTGAAGCGCCAGGAGGAGTCTCGGCTCCGTCGGTGCTCAGCCACATGCCCCAGACCCGAGGCCCAGCTTCTCTGACCTTCCTGTGCCACCCTAGAAAAAGGGGCCACCTCCCGGCTGGCGGGCAGTAGGAAGGGGCGGGGCACAGAGCCTCTGCTAAGTCTTCCCTCCGAGCGCTTGAGATGTTGAAGCTGTGTGCGACGCCCCTGATACTTCCACTTCCTGAAGTCTCAACACGCTGGTGCTCATCTGTGGCAAATTGCTGGGAGGCTGTCCACGAGGGAGGGGCCCCCGCAAGCCAGGCTACTAGCCCTGTGTTCCCGGGGAAGGGGGAGCAGCCTGGCTGTGGCTCTGGGAGCTGCGGGGTCCTTTTCTTTCGAAGGGGAGAACTGTCTCCTGTGGTGGCTGGGTTTCGTGGTGTGTGTGAACACCGGCGGGGCTGGTTCCCTTAGCCAACTCTCCAGGTTTCTGCCACTTCTGAGTTTCCCTCAAAGTCCCACAAGATTTCGAAAAGAAAGTTGAAGGTGTCCCTCTGGGTACCCGAGCTCCCTCAGGAATGACTGACTGCTCAGAGGAAAGGGGACCCCATGTAACCATGACTCAGCATCTTCGGGCCTTTCCTGTGAATTCAGGGCTCTGGGTCCCAGCCAGGTCCTCTTAGCATGGAGCCTGCTGCCATTTTCAAGGGCCCCAGAGGAGCTGGGGAATTTGGGGTCACTGGGGGAAAGGCTTCCAGGACTGGGGAGAATGGTGGGAAGCAGCGCCCTGCCACAGTCGTGCCCCAGGTCACCTCACCGAGGGCCACTGCCTGCTCTCTGCTGTCCCACTTGCGCCGGGTCCCATGGCACCTCAGCAAAGAACTAGCAAGAAGCTGGCTTTTTCCCTCTCGCGTCAGCCCAGTCTCCCAGAAAGCCAGAAGCCTACTAGAGCCTTGTTCCAAGTACCTTCCAGCCTGCCCTGCCCCCCATTTCCTGCAAGTATCCCTAGAACTGGCCTGGCCAACCTCTAATTGCAGGCCCTTGGTGGTGTCAAGGTCAACAGCGGTCCCCAGCCAGGGGGACCTCTGCCGCTTGGTTGTAGGTTGTCTTACAAGGGGTGGGCGGAGGAGGAGGGTGGAGAGTAGGCCCTCCTTGAAACGCATGACATTGTTGAGTTTGGGGACCCCTGACACATGGGGGTTCAGGCAGAAGGTGGTGCTAGTCTGCCAGGTGCTGCAAGACCCCTGCCCAGGGTTCTGCTTGGAAACCGAGTGTTTTAGAAGGATGTGTCATGTTCAAGGGCACCCTGGACACCTGCCCCTGCACCTGACTATGCCCCAGAAAAAATCAGGAAACTGCTAAATTTTAGGCTCTCTTGGCTTGTTTCCCTTACTCCTTTTTTAAAATTTCTGTATTTATCTTATGCTTGGCTTGGAGGAAAACACTGAGCAGAGTCTGGTGAACTCACACTTTTCCCAGCTTGATATTTTCATCATAACTAAGCAGCACTTTACATGGCCACATGTGCTGTCTCCCTCGGGAGCCCTCTGCCTCGTTCCTTTTCACACTGTGCCTCAGAGCCCAGAGAAGCGCCCTCGGCTCTCAGCAGTGAGCCCTGCTAGTGACCTCGGAGCAAGAAGACAACCCTGCTACCCCCAGCTTCTGGGGCCTCCTTCCAGCTGGCAGCTTGTCCAGGGAGAAGGCAAGATTCCTCTGCATATTCATTGTCCTGCAGGGTCACTGCTGACCCCAGGCCTGCACCATCCTGTGGAATTCTCAGATAGGATCAGGGGCCCCTGGACTACTGCCCCTTCTCTGAACCTAACTGATGTCCCAGGATGGGGAAGGGAGAAGAGAAAAAGCCCAGAACCTGTGGGCAGATTCCAGGCAGGTTTCACCCCGGCACCTGAGAGGCTGGGAAGTGCCCAGGGCGGTTGTCTCCACTCCAGCAGCCACCTCTCGGAGGCGAGGCAGGGAATTCTGTGTTTGTTTAGCCAGATATAGTCAACACTGTTACCATTTCACCTGTAATCAATATGAAGAATTGGTTTAGCTTCACACTGTAGACTGCTGGCGCCGCCGGCTACTTGCCTGACCTCACGGCTCCTCTCTGTTCCCACCGACCTCATTCCAAGTGGCCTGCACATGGCCCCTCCCCATGGGCTCAGTAGGGACAATCTGCCCCCACCCCGTGGACACTGGGGACCTCTGAGGTGTCACGTGGGTAGGCCAGGGAAGCAGCTCAGCTTGACAGTGACCCGAACCCAGTGTCTGTGGGGCCCAGGCATGAAGGTGAGTCCAGAAATGAGCCTGACTGCCCGTGGGTCTCCCGTGTGCAGAACCTTGAGGAGGGACTGGGAGGGGGCTGCTCTGGCCTAGGCAGGAAGCAACAGGGCTGCCCAGAACCTTCTGGAAAGAGGAGCCGGGAGCTGTGCGCCCTGCTGGCCGCTGGGGTGGAGGTATGAGCCGGGCAGGAAGCCTCAGTTGGTCAGGAGGCGGAACCAGCCGCCCCCCTGGGGGCCCACAGACTCCGGGGTTAACACAGTTCAGAGGAAGCTGTGACAGGGTTTCCCAGAAAGCGGGGGTCCGAGCGGGGTGGGGGTGAGGAAGGGGGAGGTTTCAAAATGAAACAAGCCAGAGCCCTGCAGGCCTCACCCCAATCCCCGCTCCAAGCTGACCAGGTGCAGAGCAGAGCGCCGGAGACCGCACCTGAGCCGCGGGCCAGGTGGGTGGAGGACCTGCCTGTTACGCAGTCCCGTAGCAACGGCAGGGCGGCTCCGGAGGAGGAAGGAGGGCAGAGGGAGAGGCTGGGCCCCATGGCAGCCCGAACAGGGTGAGTCTCAGGTTTCTCCCCAGGGGACCCAGGGAAACTGGCAGAGACGCACCTGGGGACCCAGAGAGAGGCCCCGGGCAGGAGCCACTGCGACCCACGGCCCGGCTTACCCACCCCAAGGTGGCAGGACTTCCTTGTTCGAATACCTACCCGCCTGGACAGGCATTGCAGCTGCCCCTGTGACCTTGGGGAAGGTCACACTCCTCTGGGAGCCTCGGCCCCTGTCTGCAGAGGGGTCATCACAGTAGATCTTCTCCACAGACTGCTGGTGGAGCCCAAAGCCCCCCCCCCTCTGCTTGCTGCACCCAGTGAAGTGGACAGGACAAGTTTCTAGCCCCATCTTACCTGTCTGAGCCTGGGGGAGGCTAGGGGATTTGCCCAAGGTGATGCAGGACCGGTCTTGCCTGGACAGGACCAAAGCCTCTGCCCTCCCCCCACGACCCCCCCCCCCCAGCTCCCAATGCCCTGCTTTCTCCTTTAAGTTGGTCACTGCACTTCTAGTGTCCTGGGAGGGGGGAGGGGTCTGGTCTTCTGGAGCCCACAGGCTGGAGAGCTTGAGAGCTTCTAACTGCCCTCAAGGAAAAGGCAGAGGAGGGGGAACTTAGGCCAAGAGCCATCAGGCAAAGTAGGTCCCCGAGAGCCCCAGAGGCAAAGAGGGCATCCCAGGCAAGGGCCTGCATGAGCAAAGGCGTGTTGGTGGAGCCTATGACCTATAACGGGGCCTGACGAGGGATGTGGGCTGGGGGGATGGGCTCAAGACAGAACCACGGTTAAGCAAAGTAGATGTGACTCCAAGTGGGTGTGGGAAATTGCGCTGCTCAGAAGGGGGTCTGGGAGATCCCCTACTGTGCCTGGTGTTCACCCTTTAATTTGGGGTGAGGGGGATGTGGGTAGGGAACAGTGAGCAGAAGCCCTGGCTGCTTACCAGATGGAACAGAGTCTGCTGATATTTCAACCTCCACTGGCCTTGGGCCCAGCACCGGTGGGGACCCACACACGTACCTGCTTCTGGGGGTTGCCCCAAGTATTCAATGGTTTCTATAAATTCTGAATTTAGGAATCTACAGAAATAAATGATTCATCCTCAAGTCTGACTGCCAGTGTGTGACCTGACAATTCCACTCCTAGGTTTCTACCCAGGATAAATGAACACGTGTTCACACAAACACCTAATCGTGAATGTTCACCACATACAATTCACCAGTGCTACAAAGTAGAAACAGCCCAAGTGTCCAGCAATGGATGAGTGGAAATAGATGTGTCTATCCCCGCGCTGAAATAGTATTCACCCGTGAAAAGGAGGGTGGCTCTACCGCACGCTACCCTGGGGGAGGAGCACTGAGCACATGATGCGTTTCTGCCAGACACACAGGACTCACGTGTGAGTTCACTAATGAGAAATACGCAGGCCAGGCACAGCCACAAAGCAGCTTCATGGTGCCAGGGGCTGGGGTCGGGGGGGAGGTTGCTAATGAGAATGGACTATCTTTGGGGGATGATGGAGTATTCCAGAATTAGATTGTGGTAGCA